TATTTCCAATAGCCCTTTTGCAGCTTACTAAACTTAAACTTAAACTTTGATCTGTTCCTATCGTGCAGCATTATAAATTTGATGTATGTAGTTGTAGTCGTAGATAATTTATTTGGTCATTATGAACATTAAATCTTAGGTCACATATTTTCAAACACCTTAAACATTTTACGATTAGAAAAAAAAAAACGAAATTGTGAATATTAGTGCTAAATAATACCTGACCGGAAGGGGTTTAGGTTGAAGTCAAGACTGCCTAACTCTTACTAGAACCGTGACAATACGTCCAAAGATGACACATTATATCTTATACCAACAATGGTAAAAAGAAGCTAGATAGAGAGATACTTTATTGATCCCCCTAGGAAAAATTCAGGTGTCCAGTAGCAGCAAAAATACAAACATAACAAATAAAAAGATCATTCTAAAAATAACTAACACTAGTATTAAGATGCAACAGCACTTAATGTCACAGTAGCAGAGGTGGTGTAGCCGCTGACATTGGTCAACTCTCCCTACGGACCAAGACCTATGTGTTCTTTGTGTTTGAACTGTTGGATTCTCTGATCTGAGTTGGCGATTTCAACAGTTTTGTAAAGTCCTCTGCGATAACTACTGTTGTGATTTAGGGCTATACAAGAATGAATTGAATTGAATTGAACATATTGACTGATATTGTGTTCCGGATCGGAGAAAGCCAAACTTTTTCTCAGATCTTGCGTTTCTGTTGCTCCTTTGTCCACCACAGCTTCTGTCGTTTTTCCAACTGTATTCCGAAAGTGCTACGCTAGAACTCTTTGGCCGTTCACTTCATCTCAAGTCATGCTTTGAGTTTTGTTCTTCCTCCTCATTTTCCCTTCCACGTTCTGAAACACCCCCGTTTCACTTCTGCTTTCGTATTTTCTTTTTGAAGCCACACACTTCCTTTTCACACGCTGCAGCCGACCGCATGTGTCAGACAGTCCAGGCCCCACCCAGAGTCCAGCTGTGAGAGTGACATGTGAGCAGAGGCAACGATGGGGAAAGCTCTCTAGCGACGGATTCAGGATCAAACCAGGGACGTGAGAGGAAACCGTACAGTTCACAAAGACGTCATCGCAAAGAGCGTTTATAGGATTTTTATTAATTATCTCTGCAATTTAGCTGTCTTTGAAGTTATTAGGATTATCAAAAGTAAGAAAGTCAGATCGGATTAGGGCTATTATTCTGCTGATTTATCGATTTGTTTTTTAGAACCAGAAATAGTGTGTGTGAATGGGGGGTTTGATACATTTGACCAAAAAGAAAGCTCAAGTTTTGGTTAGAGTTGGTTGAGTTTTTTTATTTAAAAATGTGTTTTTGACAACCAAAACGCTGTGGAATTTCTTAGTTATCTTAAGACCACTGTTTTTGGTTGTTGTAAATAATATACACTATATACTTTTCTATTGTGTGCTTGAAACTCATATAACAAATTACTGGTAAATATCAATTGAAACCAAATGTTACTATACTCTGTATACGGGTGTCATGGATTAGCAGACAGAAGCACAATTTGGCTATTTGATAAGATAAGATTTATACATGTCACATAAATAGGATCACTGAGGATGTGCAAAAGACTGGAAATGTGCAACAAATGAAATTAAAGAGAGGCAGATTTCACTTCTTTCTTCTGTGCGGTGACAGAGAAAGAGTGACGCAGCGTCTGCAGGTGTTCACACTGGGGGCCAAGCGTGAAGCCGCTCTTGCATGGATCACCTTTAACCATTGTGTGCGTATGTGGAAGTCACAATGAGAGCAGCAGCAGGAGTCATGATGTGGTCTTTGATATAATTGATTATGAGAAAAGTGGGCAATGGATTGGAGCAACTTTCTTGTATTAGCAGAAATGGGTTTACATTTCACATACATACAACCATCAATGAAAGATATAGTCAGACATACGGGATTGAAGCAACTTGAGAAAAACCAAAACGAAAATCTGTCTTACACTGGTCATGATATGGTTTGATTTGTATTTTTACCTGGTAAAAAACATGTATTGTACCAGGTTGTAGCAGCAGTGCAAATTTACACCTGTAGTCCCTGAGCAGGTTGTAGTAAAACACCAAGTCAACAGTAGCTGAATACATACCCTATATCACAACAGAAGTCATCTCAGAGGACTTAACAAAACCATTGAGTCACCAACACAGATCAGAGAATCGACAGTTAAAACACATAAAGAAAATAGAACACATGTTGATAAATGTTCATACATGTTGTAGAATGTTAAAGTGTCCTGGATCATCACCACATCCTTCTAGTTGGACACTAACTGTCCAACAGACCCTCCTGCATCAGCAAGGACAAACTCTTAAAAAAACCCAGTGGGAAAAAAGTGAGACCCCTTGGGGAGATCCTTTTTTTACAGGTTGAGAAAGGGATCCGCTCCCACGGACGGACAGGCTATAGATCCAGGACCTAAGCTACAGAACGTGGACCAGCGGCCGCTGAGCGTGGACAGGTCCGGTGCAGGACTTCCCCGCACTCCCAGGCGAGTGGGGCAGGGCAGTCCGCAGGTGTAGATGGAGGAGGCCAGGCTCAGAGGTCCCGTCATCGTACCATGAAACAGACAATGGGACAGCGGGTGAATAGCAATGAACAAACTACAGTCAAGATCCTAAAAATGCAAAACAGATAAAGTAGGAAGGAGGAGAGGATAGTGCTCAAGTTACCATACTTCTCCCAGCAAACAGACTCCCTACGCAGCTTGACTGACAGTCTGAGATATTTAGCCTTCCCTGAGTCTTACCTTCCTAACCATATACTAAACTAAGAGTTTATTCTTCTGCTTGTTTGAAGAAATGGATTTGAGTCGCTGAAGAAATGCTTCCTCACCCCGCTCTGCTTTGGACATGACAGTGTTATGTTCAAACACTAAACACTGACGTTACACAGACTTTACTGCATGTACTGAACAACACACAGCTGGAGATTGTATGCAGCTATATGCACTGATAGTAAAGGGATTCTACCAGTTCCAAACCACACAGGCTTTTAACAGAAGGTTAAAAACTCAAACAATAGAGTTTTGTTGGCTCTTACACAGGAGGCCATTAACAGACATTGATAACGAAATACTGAAAGACTAACTGTGCAAATATGTCCCATGGCTTCACTTGTTCTTTGAATCTCCTTCACCACAAGACTAAAGTTATCAGAGAACACAGGACAGATCCTCCCCCATGACAGCTGCAAATATAGCGTATTAATGAAGTCATGCGTACAGCTTCATTTGTCCTGCAGAAAGAGTTCCTCGCAGACCACACAGTGAATCTGGTGAAACTGGTTGTGACTGTGGCCCTTCACATATTTGTCGACTTTATTCAAACTCACACAAAGGAAAAACCTGCTTCAGGCATCAATACGACCACATAACAGAACACACACTCATGATGTCCAGTCTCACTATTCAGGGCTTGGAAATCCAGATATTCAAAGATTCTCTGGATTCTCCGGTATAAAAAAGTAAAAACACTGTCAAATTGTTTAGTGGATGTGTTAACAGTCCCTATTCATCATCTCATTATTTTCTAATGTTGGTATATGAGAAACTGTATAAGGCGTCCTCTTGAATTTAATCATGCTTTTCATGAATTTTATTGTTGAAGTTTACGTTTTGTGTTACTTGTTTCCATTGCTATTATTTCATTAAGGCATTATTGAAATGTCATCTTTAGCAAAAAAGGCATTATTGAACTTCTTAATATATGATTTTGTTCCACTACTGATGTTTTATTTTATTGAAGGTAGAAACATGTGCAAGAAGGCCTGAAGTGAATCCACATCTGTCATGATTGTGGCTTAAAACCATGGGCAGCGAAGACACTAGTTTAGAGAATAGTTATATGTATGCTCATTGTGTAGTGTAATACATACTTTTTTGTACCCAATTTAATATTCTACATTTATGGAGTAATTATTTTTTTCATAAGTTGGACCACAGTAACTCAACATTGTGAGTTCTGCTGTGTATAAAGATTAAGAGATCTTTTATCTACATTGGGGAAAGTAAGTATGCCATATTAAAGAGAATAAAAATCTCTAACTTTAACATAATTACTACAAACAGCTATGACTTTAGCATAATAAAAACTCTAAAGGTCGATTAAATGTGATTAAAATTACATGATGTACTTTTCTGCATTTAGTTTGTCTCTGCAGGACTTCTACCACAGTTGATGTCTTGTGAGTGCAGTTTAGGTCAGATACGTCGTACTCTCTCTTTGTTTACTAAAATGCCTTTTGGTTGGACTAGAGGCTGGAGTATTCATGTCTGATTTTGTTCTGGGATAGATGCATTTATGATGATATATGATTTCCTTTTTTATGATTCAGGGCCTCCCCTAAACGTTGTCCTCAGAGATCCTTTGATTTCCAAATCGCTTCGACCAGTGTTTTGTGTTTGTCTCCTGGCTGTGGTTGAATAGCTGCCCCTTGAGACTCCCCCGTCTCCCCCTCTCCCCCGGGACACTGAATGACATTGATATCTATTCAACAATACTTTATTAATAACTTATTTGGTATTGTTTAGGCAGTTCGTTACAAAGGCTTAACAGTAAATGAGAGAATAGATTGACCAGAGAATCAGCTTCATAAAACCTCACAAACGTATAACATGTTTTAATGTCTTCTCTTTCTTTTTTGAGAGATTTTGAGAGAATAAATGAAAGTGTACTGTAAATAACGCAATGTGACATTGTGCGTCATTGGACCTTAAACAACCATAGGAATCCTCGGCCATGCGGTTTAGTCGACAAAAAAGGAGACGTGGCTAATGCTCTAAAAATGATTATATCTAAACATTAACTTTGTTCCATAACATCTCATTTTTGTAGTTTTCACGACCTAATTATTTGTGGGACATTCTTTAGGGCCCTCTTGTGACCTCGGGGCCAAAGCAGCTGCTGAGTCCTGTGTAGAGTTTGTCACAAGCTGCAGACACTAACCTTGACTCTACCTCTTGTTTGTTTTAGGGACCATCCGCCCGGTGAGGAGGAGCTTCTATGAGCCCTCGTCTGCCCCGGGGCAGGGCTGGCAGTGGGAGTGGGAGAACGACTCTGGGTCCTGGACGCCGTACGACATGGAGGTGGCCATCACCATAGAAACGGCCCATAGCCGTCAGCAGCCGTGCCTCGACCTCACGCCGCTCGGCTTCTGCTACCTCATTGACTACGAGAACATGACACAGGTACAAAGACAGTTCATCTTTAAAACGTTTACTTTTATACTGTCTACATTAAAGATATATAGGAGGATTTTCCCAGATTTTAGGAAAGAACGAGGGGACTCCTACTAAAACGTGTGCGGAGGAGAACTGGGTTTACTGTCGGAATCACTTTCCAAGAAGATTTTCTCCAAATAGAATAATTTTATTTGTCAAGTAGGAACTTCAAAGCATCAGTGAGAGCAGCAGCCGCCTCCCTGCGCACTCGGCTGGTGTGTACACAGCCATGTGAGAGGCAGCCGTCAGAGGGAAGCCCAACCTGGGCTTTCAAGGCATTGTGTGAAAGAATCTTCCAAAAACACTTGATGAGCACTTACGACACCTTATGTCACATATCACCAGAATGATTGACAATTAGGCGGACCAATAGTTTTCATGATCCATCCGGAAGAAGAAAGTCTTCCTACATACTGTACCTTTAAGTTATGGCTTTGATTTTGTATAATTTGGTCTTAATTTGCCAAACACTGGACTTTTGTGTGTGCAGGTGAACAGGCAGAGTCAGCGGTGTCGGAGGATCAAGAGGAGAGCTGACCTGTCCTACCCTCTGGTCACAGGGCCCCTCCCCAAAGGCGGAAGCTCAGGGGGAGGCCTGACTGGAGCCCTGCTGGGTGTGGGGGTCTCTGGGGCGAGTATGGGGGTGGGTAACTCGGTCTATACTAATGGAGGAGTCCCTCCGTCGAGCCTGGGGCAGCCCTGCTCCTGTCAGCAGTGCATGCTGGTGTTGAGTGTGAAGTCCCACACTGGGGGCATGGGGGGGGTACAGACGCTGGGCCGCCGCTCGCTCACCATGCAGCGTGCTAAAGCCACAGCGCCCCCCGCAGGCCGCTCCCTGAGCCCATCAAAATCTGCCACTTTGGGACGAGGGCAGCTGCAGACGCAGAGCTACTACCAGACCCTCCCTCACGGTTTAGCGATCTCCAGGAACATTGCGTCCCCCAGGACCAACGCGCAGCTGTTTGCTCAGTCTCTGGCCGTGCTCACCGCCGGGACGTCCTCTCTGGGCATCTCCTCGTCCACCAGGCCGCCGCCGCCATCGCTCCCGCCCCCTCAGCCCCCCACAGCCAATCAGAACCCCCCGTCCCTTCCGGCCAAACTCTCGCAGTCGTCGTCCTCGGACCCCGTCCCGACCGGCACTCTGATCAGCCCCTCCAGCACCGTGACCACGCCCCCCTCGCCTGTGCCCTCCCCGTCCCCCCACGTTCTGAAGCCGCAGCGAACGGCGTCGTCCGTGGGGACCGTGTGCCACGCGCCGCTGCCGCAGAGGTCCAGTTTAGCCGGACTCAGCCGCCCGGCGCTTCAGCGGATCGCTATGGCGCAGTCCAGAGCGCTCATCGCCTCAGGGTGAGTCCAGCAGAGCCCTAACACGTTACGATAACTGTACATTTGTGCGTCTGGTTCACTCGATCGTCACATATCTGTTTAAATCTGTGTATTGGTCATATGTTCACTGTTTTGTGGTGGTTTCACATCCACAACTAAAGCCGTTCTTCCCCAAATTAACCAGAATTGGTCCAGTTAAAGTGAACCAAACCTGTGTGTGAAAGTGTCACAAGTTCATTTAACCGTCATTTACAATCATTGACAATTTAACCAAACAACAGTAGGAACATGGAACTATCTCGTCGTTTAACAATTCATCATCCATCTCATATCATCAAACGTGATTCAAAAAGGTTCATTTTGCCGAAACATGTTAACAAGGTGTAACTTGTCTTTCAAAGAATCACAAAAAACATCTATAGAATACATTTATAACAGCAGAAGCAAACCCAGAATGCCATGACAACACAAAGTTAAACCTCAACAAACCGTATCATAGTAAAACATTATCAAAGTCATTGCGACCCGCTCACAACAACAACACTATGTCACAGAAACATCTCTGACGCTTGTTTTCTGCTGGAGCCGTGAATCACACTGATCTTTGTATTGTGTTGCTTTGTTTTTGCATTTTTAACAATTCGTGGAAACCGTGATGACTGTATTTGCGATATGGCCAAACGAACAAAAGCTTTGATCTGTCATTCAGAGGCTAATTTTCCCAATGGATTATGTCATCTCTTTTGCAAAGACAATTACAGCAGCTATTTGTGATTGCATTGTTAAATTAAAACCAGCGTGGAGCCTGCAGCGATGGGTAACAATGCCTGTGATTTTTTATCTTGATAATGTAGCACAAATTGGTGGGATTTACAAGTTGTCTGAGTTTTAGTTTAATTTAAAATCTTTGTGGATCCGTTTAAATACTTCACTTGTTTATTTCCGCTGGTGTCTGTTCACAGGCCATCATTTCCTTGTTTACATCCAATTACAAACGTTAATTTTCGTTGAGCAATTCTCTTATCTTTGCCAATTCACACACAATCAACGCGTTCAAGTCTCCACTGGCAGAAACTTCCGCAGACAAAAAAGCACCAGTGACAGTTATATTTATTCATGTACAAACAAGTGAGAGCTGTGTTCGAGGAGCCGCCTGTTGAGACCTGCTCCGCATAACGTACAAGGCGACTTACAACAGGTGCCGCTCAGAACTGACAGCAGTAAAACGCAAACCCAGTCATCAGCAATTAACACCATCAAGTATTGGTGGTGTGAGGCTGCTGCCCCCGCGACCTGGCCATGGATAAATTGGAAGAAAATGCATGGATTGATAAAACCATTGGTGCATTTATATTTCATTTATTATTAGAGATGTTATACTTCTTTATTATGCTAAATTCACAGATGTTATACTTAATTCTTTGTTCATTATGGAAAAGTTGGAGATTTTAGACTTGCTTCGTTCTTGCACTAACGCTAGAGATATAAATACAAATAACTGATTGTCTTCCTATAAGCGCTGCAAATTATTATAATGTTAAAACTGTGGCTATATGGTCATACCTGCGAAAGCCAGATGCTGTCAGACCTCTGAAGCTGTGCACGGCAGAGCCTGGTTAGTACTGTGATGGGAGACCTCTAGGAACACCAGGTGCCACAGTGGGGCGGCTGCGGCTGTAAAGTGCTAAACTGTTGTTGTGTTCTTAGGCAAGACACTTCACGCACATTGCCAAGAATGAGTCTGGTGTGTGTGTGAATGGTTGGTGGTGGTCAGAGGGATTGATGGAACATACTGGTTGCCTCGCTTCTGTCAGTGTGCCCCAGGGCAGCTGTGGCTACTGTATTAGTTTATCAACACTGTGTATGGAGTGACTGATTAATGACGAGTGAAGAATCTGAGTGTCCTGAAAAGCGCTTTATAAAACCAATGCATTATTGATGAGTTTCTCTGTTGTTCGCTCTCATCTCCTTCGTCTCTTGACTTGATTCTGCACCTGTTCCTGCTCCTCTCTGGGTTCAAACGAGGCTGACATCTCGTTAAGTCGTAAACGCTGATGATGAAAGGTGCTGCACTCCCGCCGTTTCCTTCACACCTTGATTTCACCCGCCATCTCAGATAATTTCCCATTTCTGGTGAAAAGTAGGTATTGATGGAGTGTGAGTGGAGTGCGCAGAACTTCACCAATTCAGTTCTCATTATAAAACGTGAATCGGCTTTTCAGTCGGGTGGATCGCCATGACAACTTTAAAAGCAGAGGTTGTCAAACTGTTGTTTTCGAGCTCTGAAGCATCTGATTATGTGCTGTTTTTGTCACATTATTCCAGAACATTTTGCTTAGTAAGGTCTAAAGACAGTGGTAATGATCCAGGACAATCATGGACATGTATTAACATTTATGGACATTGTTCGTCCCGCTCCCTCTGCACCAATGGCTCTATGTGTTATTGCATTTCTTGTGTTCGAACTGTTTTCGTCACGGTTCTGTTGTTGGCAAGTCGACAACTTTGTAAAGTCCTCTGAAACGACTGCTGTTGTGATTTAGGGCTATACCAAAATGAGTTTAATTGAATTGCTTTATCTCTTTTGCATTGTGTACGTAACTTCATATATATATATTTACATTAGTAAGTCTTCCATTGAGACCTCCCTGTCATTGAAATAAATGAAGGTTTATCTTATCTTACTATTTTATCAAAAGCAGCACTCTGCATTACTGTGATTTACTAATCCTTGAAATACAGTTATTCAATAAATTACACTTATTATACACACAAAAGAGAGGACCATTATAACTCAGCCAATCAGCTCTCAGCCCAAGTGTCAAATAGAGACTTAGAGGGCTCTTTCTACGATAAAACATTTAGACTCTTTATGCTGGTAACAAACAAAATGTACAGACAAAAACAAAATCATGTTTGGAATAAGAAACTTCAGTGAGTCAAATGTCAGGTTTCAAACTGATATTAACTTTGAAACCCAAGAAAAGACCCTCAATGTACCTCAAATTTGAGCAAAGTTCACAGTTCTTTGTCCTCTCTGTTGTCGACTATATTCTAACACGTGTTTATTGGGAATATATTAAAACATATATTTGCACGACAGAGGAAAACAGTTGTTCTCATTTTTTAAGAATCAATTTACTGTACAGAAAGAAGAATGTGTCCAAATATCAGCTACCATTGTAATAGCCAAACACAATACAATACAATACTGTGTCTATGTGGCCCTTAGATGCCCAACTAATATCCATATAAAAGATTGCTTCCACAGACAAAGGGCTGTCTCTAGCAATTAATTTCTCCTTTGTCATGAATAAGCAAGTTATAGACAAATAATATGGTAAAAAGGGGAAAACCTTGCTTTGAAATTTGCAGAAATATACTCATTTCCGACAAACAGGAAGCCCATAAATTTCACTGCAAAATGGAAAAATGAAAACCAATCATTCTCATACACGTCGGTTGGAAAGCGACTCCTCCTCGGCCGTTTCACTGATTGGCCTCAAAATTGTTACAAATCATCTCAACACATTTACCTTCAAAATGACTTCAGGGATTTTTGATCAGTGAAACGTTGTTTGAGCAGCGGAGCGGCAAAATGTGAGGGTTTTTTTGGCCGTTTTTGACAACATACATTTTTTCCCCGTTTGCACAAACAAAGACTGATTTGCCATTAAACTTGAATCCATTGTTCAACTCCAGGGTTTAGGTCAGGTGAAAGTGAAATATTTTAAATTGGCCCATTAGCGCCCCCTAAAGACTGAGTCAAAGTTTACATGGGGAGCCAAACCAGCTCTACTTATCATATTCATTACAATTTGACTAACAATCTTCTATGGCTACGGGAACAAATCATCACACAACGGCGCCACCTCCTTTGAGCGGTGCTGCGTGGTACGGTGTGGTACGGCGTAGTGCGGGGCGTTGTGGAGCGCCGCATTGCGGCTTGGTGCGGGGCGGCGTGAGGCGGGACAGCATGGTGCAGGGCGGCGTGGTGCGGGGTGGCTTGGTGCGGGGCGGCGTGGAACGGGGTGGTGCGCGCGGTGCGGGGAGTCGCGCGGTGCGGGGAGTTGCGCGGTGCGGCGAGGGCCGTTCGACGCCGCTTGCGGCTTTAATTTCTTTCTTTCTTTCTTTCTTTCTTTCTTTTTTCTTCTGCACTTTGAGCCTTAATTTGACCCCCTGAATATGCATGAAAAGTTGTTAAATTTTGCCCAAAAATCAGACCTGGCGAAAAATTTGATATTTTGGTGTTTATTTTAATGGGACTCAAAAAATGCCAGAACAGCGCCACCTACAACAGCCAAAATAATACCCCTATGGGAGTTCTGAAGATGAAGTTTGTTGTAGAGTCATGAAATTCGGTACACATGTTCCTCAAGTCAAGACAAGAAAAAAATATTATTATGGCTCCGCCCTCTGACAAACAGCAAGCCCATAAATGTCACTGCAAAATGGAAAAATGAACAGCAAAAGTTTTCATACATGTCGGTTGGAAAGCGACTCCTCCTCGGCCGTTTCACCGATTCGCCTCAAAATCGCTCCACATCATCTCAACACATGTACCTTCAAAATGACCTCGGGGATTTTTGATCAGTGAAACATTGTTCGAGCAGCGGAGCGGCAAAATGTGACCTTTTTTTGGCCGTTTTTGACAACATTAAATTTGCTCCCGTTTGCACAAACAAAGTCTGATTTTCACAAAACTTTAATACATTGTTCAACTCTAGGGTCTAGGTCATTTGAAAGTTAAATGATTCAAATTGACACATTAGCGCCCCCTACAGACTATTTCAAAGTTTTAAATGGGCATTTTCAAATTTAGTTTTTTCAAAATGTTTGAAATTTTGCACATACATCTGTTTTGCCCTCTTGATTCAAAAAGTCAATTGGGTCCAAGGCTTATTTTTTACCCTGTTGCCGTGGCGACGACAAACGCTCCCCATTCATTGCAAATATACACCTCACACAAACATCAAACCAGCCTCGGCCGTTTCACCGATTCGCCTCAAAATCGCTCCACATCAT